CGGCCGATGCTTTCCAATGGATACCGCTAAAGCTCATCCTTTCTACGATCTTCCGTTACGTTCCTTTCCTTACAGCTCTGTCCGATATCGCTACTATATACTGTGCACATCCCTCTCCACCTGTCTCCTGGCCAGGGGGCACTCCCTTTTACCACAGGCGGCGCAGATTCTGCAAGCATCCTAGTAGGATGATCCTACCGAGCATGGCTCTGAATGAGAAGCAGCAATAGAATAGCCATTTGGTCATTCATGGTCGTGACGGTGGCTGCTCGTTGGTGAAAACACCATCATGATTGAGCTCAGCTCACAGCACACACTGTAGTTAGACCTCTGACGGCGTCATCGCCGGCGTCCGGTGAGTACAAAGCATGCGTACAGTAGGGTGCATACAGTAGGGTGCATACAGTATTATATTCTTGTACAGTACAATGATATTCTTTTACAATAAATAATATTCATTGTACAAGAATATAATATGCAACTCCCGTTTCGGAAAGTGCGATTCCAGCTCAAATTCGCCTGTCCCCGACATACAGCATACAAGAATACGACATTGTGAACAAGGAAGCTTATGTAAGGTGTGAACACCTACCATTTTTGGTCATCCCAGCCATGTACTGTACACCATAAAGCACTGACATACAGTATGAATATTAAACTCCGGCAGTTTCAAAATTTGCTGCTGCGACGTGAGTTGGTGTGAGTTGTGTTGCTCTCGGCCCTTTGCGGGTGCTGCAGGGACGTTTGCGATCGCAGAGGATCGATGGGATGGCTCAGACGCAAATTACTACATTCTTTGGCAGTGAAAGTAACTTTCAGTACACCGGACGCGCAGTAGAAACATGAGAACGTCCCCAAACATCGTAATAGAACAAATTCGCACTTCTTGCGTCATATTCTGGAGAAAATTTCTTACGCCCCCCCTTTTATTTGGGAATTTTTGTTACGTGCCCCTTTTATAAGCCCCTTTATACAAGCCCCTTTCCTTGGGGGCGCTAGAGTGATGAAAAGGTGAAGAGGGCGTCGTCGGAATGAGTTTGATCAAAGGGAGCACGTTCCCTGACAAGCACAACATGTTGCTGCTGCTGCCCTTGCCTCTCAAGTCAACATTGACGTGGATTTGCAGATGCTGCCAATTGCCAGACAGATGAGCGCGTGGAGAGTTCCGAGTCAGGCAGGTCGGCCGAAGAAACGGCTGAAACAGGGGGTCACCATATTCTATCTAAACACTGTATGTACTGTAAGTAAGCATCTAACAACGGAGCCATGCCTAGTGATGCATGGGACTGGGTCTTGTAGATTAGGTAGACGGTTATGCAGTGTG